TTTATTTTCTTTTATTCAATCCCATAATCATTACTGATACACAGTACGTTCTTAGAGTAATTGTGAGTCTTAAGATAAATATAAAAAACTTTTGTGGCATAAAGTAAAATGTGATTATTATTAAAGAAAACTGACTCACTCACAAAATAAATATAAAAATATTTTAGTTAGCTTTTTACAGTATTAAAACAGTTTAAATGCTTTCTTATCTAATAATTAATCAGATGTAAAAATATTTTTTTATTACAAAAATTGATTAATAATCAGTATAAGAAAAATGTATTCAGAAAGAAGATAGGTGAATTTTTTGTCCCACTTTATCTTCTTTTGCAGTGAGCTTGTCTTTTCCATAGTTACTTTGTGTGCTAATTAAGGCCATGAATTCTAGTTCTCTGATATCTAGATATTGTAAATATTCTTAGCATTTGAGTCAGTTTTAAAATGGGGGCTTTAGTAGTTTACATTAACTTTACTAAAATATTTTATTCTTTTTCCTTATATTAATATATATATATTTATACATTATTAATATTGACTATTTTCATTTTCCACATTTTACATATTTAATAATTCTATCAAATATTAATTTTGGTAATAGAATAAATGTTATGTTCAAAAACTAAAATAAATAAACTACCAAATTATTGATTTGGATACAAATATCTGAAATATTCATACATAGATCTTTCTTGAAAAATTGTTGCTTAAAAAGTAACAACATAGATAATACATTATACATAGCATACATATAAATATTGTTAAAATTAATTGTCAAATTTTAATTTCTGAATTTTTATGCATACTCTATCTCTCTCTTATAGTTTAGCCATTACAATTTTTTAAATTAATGTTGTTGTTACAGTTTGTTTTACATAACTTAATCAGTTTTATACAACACTGAACCATTAATTATGCAGTAAGAGCAAAGCAGATTTATACAAGTTTATATATTTGAATAAATAGCAATTATAATTTGTTTTCTTTATGTATTATGATCTAAATTACATAATTTTTTAATATTTTGTTTCTATAAAATTCTATTCTATTAATATTTCTACTTCCTGCATAATTAAAAATCCAAAATAAAAAATGAAAAGACATAAAATTCATCTTATAAAACTTTCATCAAACCTTTCTTCAGAATAAATATGCAATTTCAAAATCACAGAAAATTTTTTTCATATTTAAAGATTTAAACAAAAAATTATAGATTTCAAATATTTTAAATATAATAGGGATATAATGTAGGTTTATTCAATCTAATATAGCAAATATATATATATATATATTTATTTATAATGCAAACTATATGTATAGTATATGTATTTAGTATTAGCATATACATAACTTTTTATTGGTAAGTTTAATTTTCTTAAACAGTAATATAAACTTTTTTTTTTTCAAATTTGGCACAGTTCAATGACACAACCTATTTGGAATAATGATCATCACCAAATTATTTGCAGACATGATATATCTATGAATGTATTTATTACAATATTTAAATTTTCATACAATTATTTTTGATTATGTATTATATAGTAAATAATATTAGCTTCAGCATTTATTATTGAGTTAGTATGTAAATTTTATTTTGATTTGTAAATAAAAATATAAAATCATTATTAATTTTAAAATATATTTCTAAGAAAGATATGATTTATTTCTTTAGAATCCGTAAAAAACATAGCTAAAAACTAAATTTTAAAGTTAATAATTAAACTTAAGTTTTATTTTAAAGATTTGGTATTCTTTTCAAGTTGTAAAATTTTAAATTAATTATAATAATAGAAATTGAACATTATTTTTTTTTTCTTATTGAAGATAATATATTAAAGATTTTGCAAAGGTCTTTTCAAGATTTTAATTATTACATTATTGAAATTCTTTAACGAAACTCTCTCTCTATTCAAAATTAACTAACAATTTATATGAAGTAACAGAATTAAGATTTTCAGTAAAATTTGAAATTGTTTAAAATTCATATTAAAAATGTTCCTGTAAAGAATATTTATGCATTCAAATGTTGGTTATGAAATATGACCAATTAAATTTAAACTTCAAGTATAAAACATTGATTCAAAAAAATAAAAATATGATATATTTTGAATTGTGTTGTGCAAAATTTGTTAGTAAACTTTGTTTTTCTTATAAAAATTTTTTTAGGACCTTCATAAATATATAACCTCAAAATTACAGAAGAATTTTTCACATTTGATTTAAAGATTTTAAGTAAAAATTAGTGAATTTCCTGTGTTCTCTGTTATATCTGATCATTGTTTTATTTTATACAGTACTATTATGTATTAAAAGTTATACAAAGTTACTTTTTATTAACAGTCTTACAGGCTAATGTTAACAAATTAAGTTTAAATTTCATAAAAATTTATTGTACTACATTTTAAAATTATATTTTACAAAAACAAATTCTTTTTATATGTTTGTCATTTGATATTTTGGATTCATACCAAACTGTAACAGACAGCATAAACTAATTGCACAATTTCAAAATATAAGTAAAATTTTGAAATAAATATATTTCAAAATTTACAGTCTACTGATATTATTTTTTAAAATTAAAATGAGTAAAAATTTAACTAAATTGATTTAAAATAATTTTTTATGCAAATTGTTAAAAATTAATTATTGTTATTATTGTAATAAGAGAATATATTTTAATTGAAAAAAAAAAGATTTTCAAATATTTATAGCTTGATTTAATTCATATTTTATTATTCAATGTTTTCCTACAATTTAAAATAAAATACATAATAAATTTTTAACTTATAATGTTAATAAATAAAATTTTAAGATTTAAACATCAATTTTTTTCCTTTTATTAATAAATTTTAATAAAAAATATTTTTATTTTATTAGGGATATTTTTGTAAAGCAACTGCACTAGTCACATTAGAAAGATTTGAAGATGCAGCAGAAGCATTTTTTATATGTTTAGTTTTGGATTCTTCATCATCAGCTGTTAAAGAGGAACTTGTTCAGGTAAATTTTCAAAACTTAAACTGTCAAAAACTTAGAAATAGAGCAAATTTAACTAAAAGTGTCTAAAATAATTCATTTTATTTATGTTTAAATAAAATTTGCATGATACTCATCTGAAAAATGTAAAATTCAATTTCTGGTATTATATGTAATATATACAAATATTATATAGGTCTTATTTTCTTTTATCTTTTAGAAACAAACTAAATATGTTTTGTTTAATTTGTTTAATTAAACAAAACATATTTAGTTTTAGTTTATATTTAGTGTTTTTAAATATTAAAGTTTTTATTAAAATACATATATTATAAAAATATGAAATATTGCTTGTGTTTATGACTTCATATTATTATCTGTATAAAGTGCTTATTTTCAGGTAGCCAACTATTTTAAATTTTTTCATAAAAGGAACATTTTTGTCCTGTTTTAGGACAAAAATGTTCCTTTTGTGAAAAAATTTAAAACAGTTGGCTACCTGAAAGTAAACATTTTATACAGAGTAAGTAAAAGTTCAGAAAACTTGGTATCATCTTGATAAATAAATAAACTAAATAATTGCTTTAGTTCCATAAAAGTATTGACTTCCTGAACCAAGTAGTTATGTAGATTATTTATTCATAATAAATAAATATTATTAAATCTGTTAAAAAACATTAAGAATAATTACTCTCAACTTTTTATGATTACCAAAGTCAGGTATTTAATTATTAATATTATATTAAAAATATATAAACTTTGATAAAATTCTTAGTTATCTCTTGTACTTTCCGGACTCTTCATCTGAGGTGAAATGTTAAAAGCAATAAACCAGTTTTAAAATGACTTTAAAACCATTATTGTTTATTATTTTCTTTATTTTTCTCATATATGCATTTTAATCTTCTGATCCTCCTATTTGAGAAATGCATATATGAGAAAAATAAAGAAAATAATAAACAATAATGGTTTTAATTTTTCTCATATATGAATTTCTGAAATATGAGGATCAGAAGATTGAAATGCATATATGAGAAAAATAAAGAAAATAATAAACAATAATGGTTTTAAAGTCTTTTCAAAACTGGTTTATTGCTTTTAACATTTCACCTCAGATGAAGAGTCCGGAAAGTACAAGAGATAACTAAGAATTTTATCAAAGTTTTATCAAATTATATATATTTTTAATATAATTTTAGTAAATAAATATTATGCTATTTTAAAGAGAAATAACAATTTTATATTAGTATTAAATCTTTATAAAATGAAAATTTTAAAATTTATTAAAATAGTTGCTTATAATAATTACTTAAATGAATAGCAAGAATTGTGGCATTGCTCAATAAAGCTTAATTCAAAAATCTAAAAATCAAAAATAAAAAAATCCAGCAACAAGTTGCTTCAAAATGGGTGAACAAAATCATGCTACACATACATACACACTAACATCCATACATACAGAAAAAACTCTTGAATTTTTTGCATTTCCTGACGTTTCAAAAATGTAAAAATCTTTTTGGGGTCAGTTTTTGACCACTCACCATTCTTTCCTCTGTTATATATAACAGAACTATGAAAGTAAAAATTAAACTTTTATTTAGATAATATTTTTAAGTGACAGAAATGTATAGAAATAAAGTTTTTCAAGTATAATATTTAAACTTGATGTGAATATAAAATTATATTCACATCAAGTTAAATATTATACTTGAAAAACTGAAATAAAAATCACAATCAAATTTACAAAGAATTCTTATATTAATAAAAAAATTCTTGTATTTGGTTATTAAAAGAAAAAAATATAAAAGCCAACAACTTTACAGAAAAATAAATAGTTTAATACATTAATGCAAAGTAAACATTAGCAATTCTTTATTAAATCTTACAACTAAAAATATATTCAAATATTTACTGACTAAAAGCTTATATTTGAGAACTTTTTACACAATGATAACAAATTATCACAAAAATTTATTACAGAAAAAAGTTCAAAATGTAAAAAAAAAAGAAAAATATTATTCAATTAATAAATTTATTCTATTCTGCAACTAAATAATAATAAATAAACTGTTTTCAAACTTATAATTTATGTTATACTGATAAAATGACTTACAAACAACCTTGCACTTTTTTTCAGCTTTATAATGTTTATTCTTATATACCAAATTATAGTCTAAACAAATGTCTTTTGCTCTGTTTAGAGCTGGTTTCAGGCTTATATCAAGGAAAATTGAGAGCAAGCTGAGAATTTTATGTCACTGCTATAACAGACTTGAGCTTTTGAAATTAAAGTTGGAGTTAGTTACAAAGATTCTCATTATCAGTTCCTCACAATTTATATTTTTAATTCATATGCAATAAATATGGTAAAAATTTTTTTTATAAATGACAAGAATCTTTACAACCAACCTCAAAAGATCAAGTTTGTTATAGCAGTGACATAAAAGAACATATTTAAAACATTCTGGAATTTGGAACATAAAATTCTCAGCTTGTTCTTGATATTCTTTGCTTTAAGTCTGAAATGGCTCCTAAATGGAAATAAACACATTTGCTTAGAGTATAATTTTGTATACAAGAATAAACATTATACAGGTGCAAGAAAGAAACAAACTAAATATGTTTTGTTTAATTTGTTTAATTAAACAAAACATATTTAGTTTTAGTTTATATTTAGTGTTTTTAAATATTAAAGTTTTTATTAAAATACATATATTATAAAAATATGAAATATTGCTTGTGTTTATGACTTCATATTATTATCTGTATAAAGTGCTTATTTTCAGGTAGCCAACTATTTTAAATTTTTTCATAAAAGGAACATTTTTGTCCTGTTTTAGGACAAAAATGTTCCTTTTGTGAAAAAATTTAAAACAGTTGGCTACCTGAAAGTAAACATTTTATACAGAGTAAGTAAAAGTTCAGAAAACTTGGTATCATCTTGATAAATAAATAAACTAAATAATTGCTTTAGTTCCATAAAAGTATTGACTTCCTGAACCAAGTAGTTATGTAGATTATTTATTCATAATAAATAAATATTATTAAATCTGTTAAAAAACATTAAGAATAATTACTCTCAACTTTTTATGATTACCAAAGTCAGGTATTTAATTATTAATATTATATTAAAAATATATAAACTTTGATAAAATTCTTAGTTATCTCTTGTACTTTCCGGACTCTTCATCTGAGGTGAAATGTTAAAAGCAATAAACCAGTTTTAAAATGACTTTAAAACCATTATTGTTTATTATTTTCTTTATTTTTCTCATATATGCATTTTAATCTTCTGATCCTCCTATTTGAGAAATGCATATATGAGAAAAATAAAGAAAATAATAAACAATAATGGTTTTAATTTTTCTCATATATGAATTTCTGAAATATGAGGATCAGAAGATTGAAATGCATATATGAGAAAAATAAAGAAAATAATAAACAATAATGGTTTTAAAGTCTTTTCAAAACTGGTTTATTGCTTTTAACATTTCACCTCAGATGAAGAGTCCGGAAAGTACAAGAGATAACTAAGAATTTTATCAAAGTTTTATCAAATTATATATATTTTTAATATAATTTTAGTAAATAAATATTATGCTATTTTAAAGAGAAATAACAATTTTATATTAGTATTAAATCTTTATAAAATGAAAATTTTAAAATTTATTAAAATAGTTGCTTATAATAATTACTTAAATGAATAGCAAGAATTGTGGCATTGCTCAATAAAGCTTAATTCAAAAATCTAAAAATCAAAAATAAAAAAATCCAGCAACAAGTTGCTTCAAAATGGGTGAACAAAATCATGCTACACATACATACACACTAACATCCATACATACAGAAAAAACTCTTGAATTTTTTGCATTTCCTGACGTTTCAAAAATGTAAAAATCTTTTTGGGGTCAGTTTTTGACCACTCACCATTCTTTCCTCTGTTATATATAACAGAACTATGAAAGTAAAAATTAAACTTTTATTTAGATAATATTTTTAAGTGACAGAAATGTATAGAAATAAAGTTTTTCAAGTATAATATTTAAACTTGATGTGAATATAAAATTATATTCACATCAAGTTAAATATTATACTTGAAAAACTGAAATAAAAATCACAATCAAATTTACAAAGAATTCTTATATTAATAAAAAAATTCTTGTATTTGGTTATTAAAAGAAAAAAATATAAAAGCCAACAACTTTACAGAAAAATAAATAGTTTAATACATTAATGCAAAGTAAACATTAGCAATTCTTTATTAAATCTTACAACTAAAAATATATTCAAATATTTACTGACTAAAAGCTTATATTTGAGAACTTTTTACACAATGATAACAAATTATCACAAAAATTTATTACAGAAAAAAGTTCAAAATGTAAAAAAAAAAGAAAAATATTATTCAATTAATAAATTTATTCTATTCTGCAACTAAATAATAATAAATAAACTGTTTTCAAACTTATAATTTATGTTATACTGATAAAATGACTTACAAACAACCTTGCACTTTTTTTCAGCTTTATAATGTTTATTCTTATATACCAAATTATAGTCTAAACAAATGTCTTTTGCTCTGTTTAGAGCTGGTTTCAGGCTTATATCAAGGAAAATTGAGAGCAAGCTGAGAATTTTATGTCACTGCTATAACAGACTTGAGCTTTTGAAATTAAAGTTNATTCTCGAAGCTGTGAAAAATGCTCAATCTTTAAATTCAAGCATCATTCGTAAACGTCACGGTATTATCGCTAAGATGGAAACAATGTTAAAATTACTTGTGATAATCAAGTAAATGTGAAAAATTGTAAAATAATATAGGCCTAATTTGTTATACATATGTATTATCTAAGATTTTATTAAACATTTTTTTCTAAATTATTGTTTTCTTTAGTCTCCGGCCCCAATTAAAAATTATTTGTATGTGTTTATATGTGAAATTATACCCAGACTTACGCGAACTCGACTTACGCAGCTACCACTCGGTCCCACCTATCGCGTAAGTTCGAAGTATTACTGTATTTTGTTAAACAATGATGTGTTCATCCTGGTCTCAATCATTGTATATATCATATAAAGTGAATTATCATGTTAAATCTTTAATTTTACAATTAAAATATTTCATATAAAACTGATAATGATTTAAACATGCAAATATAAATTTGACTTATTAAATTATCTTCAATGAAGTTTTTTGTGTTCATATTAGAAGTATCTAATCAATAGTCTCTGTTGCTTGTAAATATTATATTTTGAAGATTTTCTATAAATCTTCAATGAAGTTTCCGTTGCTTGTAAATATTATATTTTGAAGATTTTCTATAAATTATCTTCAATGAAGTTTTTTGTGTTCATATTAGAAGTATCTAATCAATAGTCTCCGTTGCTTGTAAATATTATATTTTGAAGATTTTCTATAAATTTTTACAATATATGATATTGTGCAGCTTTTTTCTGTGTGTAATTGTTTAATAATCTTATTTCTTCCAGTGAGATTTCAACATCTTTATCATTTTATATGTTAAATTAGTTTCATTCTTTCCCCTCAACATTTCTATATTCTTTCTAGTCAATAGTTTCTGTATTTATTAGATTTTCTGAAGAATGGAACAACATAAACTTCAAAATTTTATAGTGTCTTACTTTATCATTCCTAACTTTCTAGAAAAGATTCTATTTCGTCTTACAAGTAAATTCAATTTTAAAAAACTTTTTCCCAATTCTTTGTAAAAGTTTCTCTTAAATCCTAGATATAAGAAACTGGGAGACATTGGAAACTATTATATGTAATAGTTATATATTATAATAGTATTATATAAATGATAATATAATGCTAATCAATGGTTATGTACAGTACTTATATAATATAATCTACCTTATAATTTTAGAATAACTTGTACTCTGATATTTTCTGAAATTGCAGGATACTATCAGCTATTTTTAATTCATTTGTATTAGCTTGATGAATATACAGGGTGATCCATTTGGAATGGCATAAAATTAAATGTGGAGAAAATAAAGTAGTGTATTAGGGTAGTGGTGCGTGACCCGTGGGTCGGAAGAAAATTTTTCAGCGTTGCAAAATTCAAAATTTATTTAACAATAAAAAAGATAAGGCTTTTCTTCAACAGGTGTCAGGTACCAGTAAAATAGTGAAATGANAACTTAAAATATTTTTTATTTAGAGATCATATTATCAGATTCTATATTATATAACATAATATATGAAGATGTATTCTATCTATAGATTGAAATGATAAGAAATCTGTCATCATATAAAATTATAAGGTTAGATAGGTATTAAGGCTATTTTTATAGATATGAAAATATGTTTACGTGTAAACACATAGATATATATATATATATTTAAATGCTGTTGTATATAAAATAAAGTACGAATCGCTGTAAAATTGCCAGTTTAAGAAAAGATGTATTACCAGGTTTCAGACTTAACGTACGGAAACAGAGCATAAATCTAAAATGTATTACCATTATTGATTTTATTACTCACAGAAAGACATATCGTTCCATCTGTTACGCTATACGTATAGTAAAAAAATTTTATATATTTTCGCTTGTTTCAAAGTAAATGTATTGTGTTTACAGTTACACGTAGAATATGCATATATGTGTATATATATAGATATAAGCTACGTATTTATATATCTTATACTAAATATGTAAACATAATATTTATGAGATGTTTTCACGATAACATCTGTTGAATGGATCTGTCTTGAAATATGCGAATAAAGAAAAATAATTTAAGCGTTATCGGCTTACTTAAGTTTGTTTATAGAATATATTTCTGAAAGTGATAGCGTTCATTAACACCTGTTCGAATACGAGATTGAATAGTATTATTTTGTTTGATGTCCATTCAGTTAATATTTGCGTGTTTTGACATTTGCGTGACTGCATTTTATTTTCTCTTCGGGACATTCACATCGCATCACGAATTCAACAATAATCGAACGTGTTTGATTTTCGCTTCCCGTTATCAATTGATAATAAGCAATGAATATATGTACTCAAAATAGAAATGTGTATTTTATAAATGACTAAACTTATAATATTTTCTACATGGCGAATTTCTGTAATATCATATTTTGCAATTATTAATATATGTTATTTAAAAATTATATTATATAAAATATTTTATTTATAAGCTCTTTTATGACATTATTTTGAATTGATTTTATTAATGATTGCATTTTACATGAATTGTACAATATATTCATATATATAAAGAGCTATTCATATAAATTGTATTGTTCATTATAAATGCTGTATTAATAATTTATTTCATAAAATTATTTTTAAACATTTTATAGTAATTACAAAGAATAATTTGTTATTGAATAAATTCTTTTTGATATATTTATTTTAAGTGTAAAATTTATGATCTGTTTATACAGATATAAAAGGTTTAAATTTTACTGCAAACTTCATCAGTAACAATAAAATACTGTATATGTTATGTATTATAAACATTATAAGTAATAATTAATAGAATATTTCAAATTATAAAAATGTGAAAAGAATACAGAATCTTTATTTTCTATTTTTGCTCAAATTATNGATTATTATTAAAGAAAACTGACTCACTCACAAAATAAATATAAAAATATTTTAGTTAGCTTTTTACAGTATTAAAACAGTTTAAATGCTTTCTTATCTAATAATTAATCAGATGTAAAAATATTTTTTTATTACAAAAATTGATTAATAATCAGTATAAGAAAAATGTATTCAGAAAGAAGATAGGTGAATTTTTTGTCCCACTTTATCTTCTTTTGCAGTGAGCTTGTCTTTTCCATAGTTACTTTGTGTGCTAATTAAGGCCATGAATTCTAGTTCTCTGATATCTAGATATTGTAAATATTCTTAGCATTTGAGTCAGTTTTAAAATGGGGGCTTTAGTAGTTTACATTAACTTTACTAAAATATTTTATTCTTTTTCCTTATATTAATATATATATATTTATACATTATTAATATTGACTATTTTCATTTTCCACATTTTACATATTTAATAATTCTATCAAATATTAATTTTGGTAATAGAATAAATGTTATGTTCAAAAACTAAAATAAATAAACTACCAAATTATTGATTTGGATACAAATATCTGAAATATTCATACATAGATCTTTCTTGAAAAATTGTTGCTTAAAAAGTAACAACATAGATAATACATTATACATAGCATACATATAAATATTGTTAAAATTAATTGTCAAATTTTAATTTCTGAATTTTTATGCATACTCTATCTCTCTCTTATAGTTTAGCCATTACAATTTTTTAAATTAATGTTGTTGTTACAGTTTGTTTTACATAACTTAATCAGTTTTATACAACACTGAACCATTAATTATGCAGTAAGAGCAAAGCAGATTTATACAAGTTTATATATTTGAATAAATAGCAATTATAATTTGTTTTCTTTATGTATTATGATCTAAATTACATAATTTTTTAATATTTTGTTTCTATAAAATTCTATTCTATTAATATTTCTACTTCCTGCATAATTAAAAATCCAAAATAAAAAATGAAAAGACATAAAATTCATCTTATAAAACTTTCATCAAACCTTTCTTCAGAATAAATATGCAATTTCAAAATCACAGAAAATTTTTTTCATATTTAAAGATTTAAACAAAAAATTATAGATTTCAAATATTTTAAATATAATAGGGATATAATGTAGGTTTATTCAATCTAATATAGCAAATATATATATATATATATTTATTTATAATGCAAACTATATGTATAGTATATGTATTTAGTATTAGCATATACATAACTTTTTATTGGTAAGTTTAATTTTCTTAAACAGTAATATAAACTTTTTTTTTTTCAAATTTGGCACAGTTCAATGACACAACCTATTTGGAATAATGATCATCACCAAATTATTTGCAGACATGATATATCTATGAATGTATTTATTACAATATTTAAATTTTCATACAATTATTTTTGATTATGTATTATATAGTAAATAATATTAGCTTCAGCATTTATTATTGAGTTAGTATGTAAATTTTATTTTGATTTGTAAATAAAAATATAAAATCATTATTAATTTTAAAATATATTTCTAAGAAAGATATGATTTATTTCTTTAGAATCCGTAAAAAACATAGCTAAAAACTAAATTTTAAAGTTAATAATTAAACTTAAGTTTTATTTTAAAGATTTGGTATTCTTTTCAAGTTGTAAAATTTTAAATTAATTATAATAATAGAAATTGAACATTATTTTTTTTTTCTTATTGAAGATAATATATTAAAGATTTTGCAAAGGTCTTTTCAAGATTTTAATTATTACATTATTGAAATTCTTTAACGAAACTCTCTCTCTATTCAAAATTAACTAACAATTTATATGAAGTAACAGAATTAAGATTTTCAGTAAAATTTGAAATTGTTTAAAATTCATATTAAAAATGTTCCTGTAAAGAATATTTATGCATTCAAATGTTGGTTATGAAATATGACCAATTAAATTTAAACTTCAAGTATAAAACATTGATTCAAAAAAATAAAAATATGATATATTTTGAATTGTGTTGTGCAAAATTTGTTAGTAAACTTTGTTTTTCTTATAAAAATTTTTTTAGGACCTTCATAAATATATAACCTCAAAATTACAGAAGAATTTTTCACATTTGATTTAAAGATTTTAAGTAAAAATTAGTGAATTTCCTGTGTTCTCTGTTATATCTGATCATTGTTTTATTTTATACAGTACTATTATGTATTAAAAGTTATACAAAGTTACTTTTTATTAACAGTCTTACAGGCTAATGTTAACAAATTAAGTTTAAATTTCATAAAAATTTATTGTACTACATTTTAAAATTATATTTTACAAAAACAAATTCTTTTTATATGTTTGTCATTTGATATTTTGGATTCATACCAAACTGTAACAGACAGCATAAACTAATTGCACAATTTCAAAATATAAGTAAAATTTTGAAATAAATATATTTCAAAATTTACAGTCTACTGATATTATTTTTTAAAATTAAAATGAGTAAAAATTTAACTAAATTGATTTAAAATAATTTTTTATGCAAATTGTTAAAAATTAATTATTGTTATTATTGTAATAAGAGAATATATTTTAATTGAAAAAAAAAAGATTTTCAAATATTTATAGCTTGATTTAATTCATATTTTATTATTCAATGTTTTCCTACAATTTAAAATAAAATACATAATAAATTTTTAACTTATAATGTTAATAAATAAAATTTTAAGATTTAAACATCAATTTTTTTCCTTTTATTAATAAATTTTAATAAAAAATATTTTTATTTTATTAGGGATATTTTTGTAAAGCAACTGCACTAGTCACATTAGAAAGATTTGAAGATGCAGCAGAAGCATTTTTTATATGTTTAGTTTTGGATTCTTCATCATCAGCTGTTAAAGAGGAACTTGTTCAGGTAAATTTTCAAAACTTAAACTGTCAAAAACTTAGAAATAGAGCAAATTTAACTAAAAGTGTCTAAAATAATTCATTTTATTTATGTTTAAATAAAATTTGCATGATACTCATCTGAAAAATGTAAAATTCAATTTCTGGTATTATATGTAATATATACAAATATTATATAGGTCTTATTTTCTTTTATCTTTTAGAAACAAACTAAATATGTTTTGTTTAATTTGTTTAATTAAACAAAACATATTTAGTTTTAGTTTATATTTAGTGTTTTTAAATATTAAAGTTTTTATTAAAATACATATATTATAAAAATATGAAATATTGCTTGTGTTTATGACTTCATATTATTATCTGTATAAAGTGCTTATTTTCAGGTAGCCAACTATTTTAAATTTTTTCATAAAAGGAACATTTTTGTCCTGTTTTAGGACAAAAATGTTCCTTTTGTGAAAAAATTTAAAACAGTTGGCTACCTGAAAGTAAACATTTTATACAGAGTAAGTAAAAGTTCAGAAAACTTGGTATCATCTTGATAAATAAATAAACTAAATAATTGCTTTAGTTCCATAAAAGTATTGACTTCCTGAACCAAGTAGTTATGTAGATTATTTATTCATAATAAATAAATATTATTAAATCTGTTAAAAAACATTAAGAATAATTACTCTCAACTTTTTATGATTACCAAAGTCAGGTATTTAATTATTAATATTATATTAAAAATATATAAACTTTGATAAAATTCTTAGTTATCTCTTGTACTTTCCGGACTCTTCATCTGAGGTGAAATGTTAAAAGCAATAAACCAGTTTTAAAATGACTTTAAAACCATTATTGTTTATTATTTTCTTTATTTTTCTCATATATGCATTTTAATCTTCTGATCCTCCTATTTGAGAAATGCATATATGAGAAAAATAAAGAAAATAATAAACAATAATGGTTTTAATTTTTCTCATATATGAATTTCTGAAATATGAGGATCAGAAGATTGAAATGCATATATGAGAAAAATAAAGAAAATAATAAACAATAATGGTTTTAAAGTCTTTTCAAAACTGGTTTATTGCTTTTAACATTTCACCTCAGATGAAGAGTCCGGAAAGTACAAGAGATAACTAAGAATTTTATCAAAGTTTTATCAAATTATATATATTTTTAATATAATTTTAGTAAATAAATATTATGCTATTTTAAAGAGAAATAACAATTTTATATTAGTATTAAATCTTTATAAAATGAAAATTTTAAAATTTATTAAAATAGTTGCTTATAATAATTACTTAAATGAATAGCAAGAATTGTGGCATTGCTCAATAAAGCTTAATTCAAAAATCTAAAAATCAAAAATAAAAAAATCCAGCAACAAGTTGCTTCAAAATGGGTGAACAAAATCATGCTACACATACATACACACTAACATCCATACATACAGAAAAAACTCTTGAATTTTTTGCATTTCCTGACGTTTCAAAAATGTAAAAATCTTTTTGGGGTCAGTTTTTGACCACTCACCATTCTTTCCTCTGTTATATATAACAGAACTATGAAAGTAAAAATTAAACTTTTATTTAGATAATATTTTTAAGTGACAGAAATGTATAGAAATAAAGTTTTTCAAGTATAATATTTAAACTTGATGTGAATATAAAATTATATTCACATCAAGTTAAATATTATACTTGAAAAACTGAAATAAAAATCACAATCAAATTTACAAAGAATTCTTATATTAATAAAAAAATTCTTGTATTTGGTTATTAAAAGAAAAAAATATAAAAGCCAACAACTTTACAGAAAAATAAATAGTTTAATACATTAATGCAAAGTAAACATTAGCAATTCTTTATTAAATCTTACAACTAAAAATATATTCAAATATTTACTGACTAAAAGCTTATATTTGAGAACTTTTTACACAATGATAACAAATTATCACAAAAATTTATTACAGAAAAAAGTTCAAAATGTAAAAAAAAAAGAAAAATATTATTCAATTAATAAATTTATTCTATTCTGCAACTAAATAATAATAAATAAACTGTTTTCAAACTTATAATTTATGTTATACTGATAAAATGACTTACAAACAACCTTGCACTTTTTTTCAGCTTTATAATGTTTATTCTTATATACCAAATTATAGTCTAAACAAATGTCTTTTGCTCTGTTTAGAGCTGGTTTCAGGCTTATATCAAGGAAAATTGAGAGCAAGCTGAGAATTTTATGTCACTGCTATAACAGACTTGAGCTTTTGAAATTAAAGTTGGAGTTAGTTACAAAGATTCTCATTATCAGTTCCTCACAATTTATATTTTTAATTCATATGCAATAAATATGGTAAAAATTTTTTTTATAAATGACAAGAATCTTTACAACCAACCTCAAAAGATCAAGTTTGTTATAGCAGTGACATAAAAGAACATATTTAAAACATTCTGGAATTTGGAACATAAAATTCTCAGCTTGTTCTTGATATTCTTTGCTTTAAGTCTGAAATGGCTCCTAAATGGAAATAAACACATTTGCTTAGAGTATAATTTTGTATACAAGAATAAACATTATACAGGTGCAAGAAAAGTGTGCAAGGTTGTAAGTCATTTTGTTAATAATTCCAGCTTCAGTAGAACTTAGGGCTTATAATGATAATTCAAAATATAATAATTTAATATATTGATATATTATTACATATAATTATTAAATGATAAATATATCATGTAATATATATTCATGTAAATATATCATGTAATAATTTATTAACTAAACTTTTAATTTTACAATTAAAATTTTTCATATAAAACTGATAATGATTTAAACATGCAAATATAAATTTGACTTATTAAATTATCTTCAATGAAGTTTTTTATGTTCATATTAGAAGTATCTAATCAATAGTCTCTGTTGCTTGTAAATATTATATTTTGAAGATTTTCTATAAATCTTCAATGAAGTTTCCGTTGCTTGTAAATATTATATTTTGAAGATTTTCTATAAATTATCTTCAATGAAGTTTTTTGTGTTCATATTAGAAGTATCTAATCAATAGTCTCCGTTGCTTGTAAATATTATATTTTGAAGATTTTCTATAAATTTTTACAATATATGATATTGTGCAGCTTTTTTCTGTGTGTAATTGTTTAATAATCTTATTTCTTCCAGTGAGATTTCAACATCTTTATCATTTTATATGTTAAATTAGTTTCATTCTTTCCCCTCAACATTTCTATATTCTTTCTAGTCAATAGTTTCTGTATTTATTAGATTTTCTGAAGAATGGAACAACATAAACTTCAAAATTTTATAGTGTCTTACTTTATCATTCCTAACTTTCTAGAAAAGATTCTATTTCGTCTTACAAGTAAATTCAATTTTAAAAAACTTTTTCCCAATTCTTTGTAAAAGTTTCTCTTAAATCCTAGATATAAGAAACTGGGAGACATTGGAAACTATTATATGTAATAGTTATATATTATAATAGTATTATATAAATGATAATATAATGCTAATCAATGGTTATGTACAGTACTTATATAATATAATCTACCTTATAATTTTAGAATAACTTGTACTCTGATATTTTCTGAAATTGCAGGATACTATCAGCTATTTTTAATTCATTTGTATTAGCTTGATGAATATGCAGGGTGATCCATTTGGAATGGCATAAAATTAAATGTGGAGAAAATAAAGTAGTGTATTAGGGTAGTGGTGCGTGACCCGTGGGTCGGAAGAAAATTTTTCAGCGTTGCAAAATTCAAAATTTATTTAACAATAAAAAAGATAAGGCTTTTCTTCAACAGGTGTCAGGTACCAGTAAAATAGTGAAATGAATTTATATTATTTATAAAAACTATAAGAAACTATTTATAAGAACTATATTTTTTTTTACAAAAACAATTGTCTGTATTAGTACCTAATACCCATACTTCAGCAACCAACAGGCAAACAGACATAGTGATACTGATAACGTTGTGGCAACAGAAACACACATTGACATATCCATATTTAGTACGTAATTTGTCTACAAGGACTTTATACTGGTGACTTGATTCTGCAATTCAAGAAAACATCAGATAAAAACAGTCTGTCTTTATTTTTCACCAGGTGAAAAATAGACTGTTTTTATAAATAAAATAAATGTCCTTGTAGACGAATTACTAAACATAAGATAAGGACACAAAGGCATATAATTTAGCACCCATATTTAGCTTGAAGTGCAACAGTATAGTTACAGTACAGTAAATGTCTACTGTCTATCCATGGGTCACAACAAAATTTTACACAAAATGGGGGGTTGGAAATGAAAATAGTTTGCACACCACTGTATTAGAGGTAACTAAATGTTATGTATGTATGTTGGAAGATTGTCAATTTCTACTTATAAGAAAATCAACACTCAACATGGCCTGCTGAACATTCTCCTCTCTGCCCTCTCATGCACTCTTCTTCAGTATGAAAGTCAGACCGATTTGCAGGAATTTCTGGTATCATTTGTTGAAGGATTCTGTGGTTTTTTTTTTTTTTTTTTGGAAACAACGACAACAACAGCAACAACAAAATGTTATTAACAATGAATATTTAATAATAGCAAAGAGAAATAAGTCTACAAAATTATGTTTTGCTAACTAAGGCAGCTGTAAATGAGACTACACAGTAGTACATACATATGGCAAACACCCATAAGTTAGACCTCATATTACACTGACCAACTGTTTTCTCCATATGTGCCCTCTTGCATTACAGAAAGGACTAAGTAGTGTTTGCTCAGCAGGGCACAACAGTCAAAGTTTAAAATATTAGAATTAAAACTTACACTCAATCATGAAGGATGTTGACTTTCAATATTTCTCAATGTTTCAATGTGTGGAAGCATGATGATACTCTTAAACTTGCCAGAAGAATAAGTTTAGAGTGACATGCAAAATGGAAATCATAATATGATTTCTATTTTGCATGTCACTCTTAAACTTGTCCTTCTGGCAAGTTTAAGAATGTCATCATGCTAATCATAATATGGTTTCCATTTTGCAAACCATAGTTTGCACTGAGCATCTACTCTGGTGTGACTGCATTTTATGTTCCTATGCATGTGCATTATCATGTGGCAGAGTACTGAAATGAACATCCACCATCCTGAAATTGACAATCTTCCAATATGTATATGTAAGATTTAGTAACCTATAATTTATTTTCTATACATTTTTAATTTTTGACATTCCAAACAGATCACCTTGTATGTTCCAATTGGAAAAAAACTATAAGAGAAATTAAGAGTTATATGATTCCTTACAAAAATTTATGGCTTTCTAGATTATTTAAAGAGATGTTAGAAATGATATGTAAGAAGCTGTTTTAAACTGAAGTTGAAATTTGTTTTGCTATAGTTATATCTACAATCCTTTATATTTACGTAAATTTGATAAGATTTATCAAAGAAATTAAATTTTAAAAAGGACTGAAATCCTTCTTTATAAAATTTGGAATGATAGAAAAACAAGAAATTAATTTATAAAAGATTGAATTTTGTTTTTTCATCCTACACTCAAATAACTGAAATGAAAACTATTACATTGGAAAAATTTTTGAGAGATACAAGGAACACTACATAAAAAGAACCAGAAAACCAAAATTAGTTTAGCAAAAAGAATTATTAAAAATTTATTGGAATATACTAAGATTGCAAAAATTTCATATGAAGAAAAATTATAGAACATCAGATAATTTTTACATTTATGGAGAGATTTTGAAAGTAATATTTATAAGCAGCCATAACTGAAATTTTATTACTTTTGTCTGTATGAAAGACATTTAAAAAGTAAAAAAAACAAATGGAATTAAGTGTATTGAAAGTGACTTAAAAAAATTTGACTTATATTTTGTATAAAACTTTATATGTAGTTACAATTTTATTATATTTGATGTAATATTAAATAAAATTTCAAATATTTTCTATTTTCTTTAATGAATCTTTTATAATCTGGCTTCTCATGTAATGCACATGATTTTAAAGAGTTGCAACTATAAAAATATATTTATTATTTAATTTTGTATAACAGCTTTTTAAATTTTTTAAAGTTAAAAATTATCTTAAAAACTGTTGAAAAATCAGTCATTTTTGATACTTTAACTTAATTGTTAATACATTATAACAAATTTTATTTTAATCTTTTATTTATTAAATTTAAAAATAAAAATATTTTATATCAAACCATGTATATACAGTTATTCTCAATTTCTGTTTTCAAATGTTACTACTTTGCTTGATGGAAAATTTTTTAGAGAAAATATCTTTTTTGAGTGCTTTTGCTGATTTTATTTATATATTCAGAAACTATGTTAAAAAAGAACAATTTTTAAAAATTACAAGTGTTAGATATGTTTTTAGAGTCAGAAACATCTTGTTTATTTAAAATTTTCAAAATTTATTCTTATTTTAAATTCAGTTATTTAAAGAATTTTCACAATTTTTTAATCAACATGATAACATCTGAAAATGGTAACTAGGACTGTTTTATTATATAGATATAAACATTAATCATAGACCAATATTTAGTAGCATAATGTGCATATAAGCTGAATTAGTTTTAAACTAGAATTAAGCCAATTAATTAGCATAATTCTTTTCAAAAATTATCCAACTTTTAGATATTATATTTGCTTTATCATACTTCTAACAAGCTGCTTTTATCTGACTAATGTATTATTTAATTTAAGACATGCAATGTTGATATTATGAATTGTTTTTATTTTTTTGCAAAACATTTTTATCTTTCTATTTATCCATTCATATGTTTCATATATTATATTATGAANAGTTTTATATAATATATGTTTATTTACATTGTAAATAATATTTTTATATTTTATTTAAAAATAAGTCCCTGTACCATATTACATTTGCTTTTATATGGAATATGTGAGGAGGGTTGCATACTATGGTGTATTCTTTCTCTCCAGTGTGCCTTTGTCACATATGTTATGGTACTCCTTTTACTATACTATTGATATATTATACTAGTTAATGAAATTTTAATTGTTTATTTAGATTATATTTGATTTTTTCCTGTCGAATCATGATATAAACTACTTTTGAAATGAGAATAACAGTTCTGACAAGAAAATCAATAAATTTGGATTAAAATTATTGATAATACATTGATAAATGATGAATAGATCACTATATAAATATTTGTATTATACATTGTACTTCATGAAACTTTTTTCTTTCATTTATTAATTCATCTTAATGTATTTTTATTATATAGTTAGTTGTTTTCTGCAACTATTTAGATGNTGCAAAACATTTTTATCTTTCTATTTATCCATTCATATGTTTCATATATTATATTATGAAAATAATTATTTTTTACAGTTATTGCATAAGCTTCTGTTAAAAAATTCATCATCTCATGATTACGTTGATTTGGGTGAATCATCATCCAACAATCATTTCTTTCCATCTTTGCAATATCAAAGGGAACATTCAGGCAGTGAAGGAAGTCTTTACAGTTCTACTAGCAATGATAGTTATAATTGGCAGTCTAGTGATATAGATAGTGATTCGTCTTGTGATGAAGAAGTTCTAAGGGTCAGTAATATTTGAAACATATCAACATGTTTTAACAGTTAAAATTTTGAATTTTTTTCTAATTTTTTAAAAATTGTCAT